TGATGGTCTCCCAGCGATTCCGTTTTTAGTGCCACCGCTGTCAATTAATTCAGTTGGCGTTTTAGGATGTCAAATATCATTGAATACAAGCTTGGAAAAATCTAGGCTCAATAATAAATGAAATATCTAATTGTAAACATAACGGCATCGTAGATCAAGATTCGTGTAATTGCCAACAGGCAACAGCACGCCTCAAAGTTCTGCTCAGCTAATATCCTGGGGCCAACTTTGAAACTAGCCATGGATCCGGGTAGCGTTATTCGAAACAAAAACAATCTTGTTCAATTTGCAATTCATCGTCATGCATTATGCATTGCTGGAAAGATCGCACAGGAATCAATTACAAGGCGAGAGCTAGAAAGAGATTTATCTTTAAATGCGTTCGGTGACACCATTGGCTGAGCATTCGGTTGAAAAGTGGTCAGGCACACTCTCGAAGGGCCCGAGAAAGCACAAACGTAATGAAAAAAATATGTTCCTACAACACAATTCAGTGGTGCGAACTTCCAGATAAACGCTTCAACGAGATTATGTATTAGACCTATCAAGAAAAATAGCGACGTCACACATTTTGTAAAGAAGCCTCGGAAAAGACAATCTCTTATGATAAGAGATTTCAAAAGATATGATAAGAGATAAGAGTCTTATCTAAGGAAGTCATTTTTATTTGCACCTTTGCAGTAATCGCCACGCATTTTGTACTGTGGATCGCTCTTAAATGTAAATACAAATACAATACAAAAACTGCTCTACTGGAATAGAGCGTTCAACGACCGGGGCCAACCGAGCTTCACGGGCCGGGACAGGGCTGGTAAAAAGGCCATCTGGGCCGGGTGTCGATTCAGCGGTTCCCGCTCGTGAAAAGGTGACCCATAGACCCGGACCGATCACAGCGGGGTGACCCACGGTGTCAGGTGGGTGTGAAAAGAACCTTTGTGGGTAATGAATGGCTACCGTTACGCACGGGCGAACGGCTTTCATCGGTCGGACAGAGAGCAACGGACGAGTGATGGGACAGGTTCAACGATGATAGGGAGAGTAGCAAATAAACACACCAAAACCAACGAGAGAGTGAGGAAAACCCATTCGAGTATGCTTCCCCGACAACAAGAGATACGACCCATCGGCGTCAGCCGACTCTGGTTGGCACCCGGCCGGCCTAGCGGAGTGCCGACCGACCACCCAGCCTGTCCAGCCGGCCGCACCCACCGCGCCGGGTGACCGGGCCGACCGCAGCCGGCCACTGTGCTCCCGTTCAGCGCACCGCGACACATATCGGGGCCGCGCCCGGCGGCGCCGATTTATGCAGCACCCGCCGCCGAGCCGCCCTGCCGGCGATGGCCACCGGCGGCCAGCGGCCCACTTCGCCGCCCGTGCCACTTCGGCCGGCCTGACGTCAGAGGCCCACAGAGCGTGCGGCATTCCGGCGTCCGGCCGCGGTCGCCCGCCGGCACCTGGCGCGCCCGAGCCCCTCGCGGCTCCGCGGCGCGGCCGTCCGCCGTGCGGCCAGTGATCATGGCCGACAGACACACACACAGACAGACAGACAGGCCGTCCACGCGGCGCGGTCCACGCGGAGGGGTGCGATTTAAACCCAGCCCACCCCTCACCGTTCCCCGTCCCCACGACCAGGTGTTCCCCTGGCTAACGGGCGATAATCGGGAATAGCAACGGTTCAAAATACCGCTCAATATTGGGCCACACCTGCGGTAAGGGGGCTAATGTCGGCGGAATTTCAAATTTGATCGAATATCCACCAACGGAACGATCAGGGGAACACATTGCATGTGGCGTCCTCGTGAGGTATGGGCGCCGCACATAACTGATATGGCGCTAATACGATGGCACCACGGGGATATTGCCGATGCGCCGCAGGGCCTAGAGGGTCGTATGGGCCCATCCTGTCCATCACCCGGGTCCCCGCGGGCCCATCTCGTCTGCTCGCCACCCTCACGCGCACCTGACACACCGTGTAATGGTCCGTCCGAGACAGACTGCTCCCCGCCGGTACTCCATTGAGAGGAGGCGTATCGCGCGGGCCATCGCATCCCGAAGACGGGACGGACGGAGACTGCACCGGCGCACAGGAAGGTAGCACCGGCCGGCCGGCCGAGTCGCCGGGCGGCTGGGGCGAGACAAAAGCAGTCTGTCGCCGGCAGCCGCGGCCCCCGCTGACAGTGAAATGAATCCAGGTGATTCAACGACAGACTGTCCATAGATGGACGCAGCTTCCAGCGTCGTTGTCCGTTACCATGACTGGAACAGATCCCCCGTGGGTATGCTGGTGCCTATCTGTCCGACGAGAAATTCCATCCTGGAACACCGTCGGACGTCTTTGATGAGAATTCCTACCTTGCCTTGTAATGACAGACCAGGAATGCACAAAACCGTCGCCATCGCCTTCACGGAATTCCCAACAGAAAATAAACACCGGCATTTGAAAATGACGCTCGTATAGCTGTGTAGCGGTCACAACCGCCGGTCAAGGGATGCAGAGAACAGGTTTGGTCTGTGGAGCGTCCTGGCCACACCTGGGGCTCCATAGCTGTGTGGTGCATGTCTGACGGGCCTGGGAGGAAGGTGTGCTGCCGATCTCACGCCACCACATCCTATAAATCCTCCCTGATCCCCCCTCTCCCCCTCTATCCTCCCGGCAGAGGCATGCACTGAACAATGCACACCTGCTAGCAGCCGCTTCCGCTTCAGGAGAAACCACATCTGAAACCACAGCAGTAACCAGCAGAGCTCAGGGGTGGCACCTTTACATCGTGGTCCCTCACCCTACGAGAGCAGTCACGTGCTCAGTGCTCACGCATCGACAAAGAGCGGGAGTCACGACCTCTCGTATAACAAGAGCAGACTTTCTCGGCATCACGGCTTTACGATCTTTCTTACATCACCACAGGACGTGAGTGACGAGCTCTAGCATGGCACTGCACGACAGCAGACAACGGCATTCTTACATATCTATATGATGTGGCATGGGATGAGCCATCTCACATCGCAGGAAGCAAACGTGATGAGCTTCTCATATCACGACAGCAAAAAACTGTTGCCGAGGCCATCGTCAAGCCCGCCGGTCCCTCGTAACCATCCCAGCCGATCAGAACCGTGGAACGATATCCATCCGAGATACAGCGGACACTGAGCACTCAGCGCAGGACACTCATCCACCGTCGCCTGGTAACGTAGGAGTGCCGGCGGCGGTGGCGGACCCCAGGAATGCCACTCGGGAGCGGCGCCGTCCATATAAGGGTACCCAAACCCTCCACCGGCCCCTACGACCCCGCACCTGGCCATTGGTAGTCTCCAGGGAGGCGCGTTATTGAAGCATGCAGCTGCTTAGCGCCGAGTGTCGTATGCTGACATTGGGTGTAGTGCACTCGGCAACAGAGTTAGTTGGGAAGTTCGTGGTAGTTTTCCAGCCGTTGAGGCTCGGTGGTGAGCCGGTGATAGGCAATCGACAGGTGTCTGAGCACTAATGTTGTGCTCTCTGACGATGGGTCTGAGCTCATGACTATGGTGTCAGGGTCTCCAACCCCATACTGCACTGCTGCTGAATTTCTGATTCGATGCGGCTCATAAGATAATGTCTCTGATTCTCACCCAGGGCCTCTGAGCTCGTGTCTCGGACTCTGGGGAGGGGGAGAGCGGCATGAGGCCCTCGGCCCCTCAGCTGACCGGCCAACGACCGTCTATCGGTGCATCTCAGGGCATGTGTAGCGGGGGCCGCACCAGGGAGCTCGATCAGAACACTCAGTCTGAATTACCAGCATTCCGTAGACTAACAGGTGGGCGAGCGGCGGAAAATGCATCTTGAACGCCACCTACGGAGGGATCAAACATTTTTCTACTTGAAAAAGCTCACGCCCCAAATTTCACAAGGCGTGCACGTTACGACAGCGAAAAAGTAGATGATCCAGATTTAGCGTCAGTCATGAAGATCTCACATGGTGCATAGCCATGACGCAAGAATCCGGCGTTTAAGGTTATATCCGTACTAATATGGTAATGATGTTTATTCTGCTGTCAGATTAGTTCTGCTTATCGCTTCAAGTATTACCAAAAGTAATCCCAACTTCATTCATAACTTTCTTTACTACCAGCTTCGGAAATAACTTGATATTGTTCATGGCGCTACCGGCACTGATTGCTTCACTGCTTCACTGCTTGCACTGCTTCATTTCGCAAATGTTCAAAATATACTATCGTTAAAATGCATAAATAATACCTTCGTTTCTTATCATCCGAATTACAACATAAAGCTTTATTACATCCTTCCCTTTCTAACGTAAAACCATGTGACCGCACGCCTTCATTACCGAGGCAAAGATGCATATGCGTCACATGAGAACACTTGGGTTGATGACATTCACATACCGCAACGTTTCCACGCTGGACAGCCGAGCGTATATGCGACTCAGGCAGCCCATCAGAGTTGCCGGTGACCGCTGCCAACCACAGTCCCATGGCCGAAGAGGTGGTGTGGTCGAACCACGTCATCGGCTAAGCCACAGAACAACAACGTTGACATAGGCTTGAGAGGCATATCATGTCGTTGAAAATTAACGGCTGATTGTGTAAATAAAAAGTGAAAAAGTTGGTGTGTTCACTATACACATCAAGTAACGATGGTGATCACCAAGATGGCATGGTGAGACAAGCGTCTTTCAGTAAAATTATGATGATTTCTCACGATTTCCTGAGTGTATTCTCGACACATGATCTCATTCGCAAGATGCCTGCACAAAAAAGAAGAGTCCTAAGCGTGATGCCTTTCACGGCAAGAAATATCCCAATACGACTTAACAGAGTATAGTATCTGTAGTGGGTTCTCTTCCGCCATATTCAGTCCCCTGTTCCAACCTAAGTGGGGAAGTCGCCATCTCTACCTTATCGTTCATCCACAGTTTTACCTTGGAGTTCCGAGGTCATGTCGAAGGTGAATTCTCCCTCTGGGCTAAACTCGGATGTCCTGCGCATGCTGTAGCTTGACCTACCTCGGACGTCCTGTGTCATGTCGTAGCGGAGCACAAAGGTGACCCGCTCGCCGACCTCCTGCTGGCCCTGGATCAGCAGAAGAGGCCGCTCGTGCAGCGCCAAAACCCTCTCTGAGGACACACAGAGGGGCATCGCGGGTGTCAATAGGAGAAAGGGCCGGTTAGTAGCGGGGCATAGATAATGGAATGGCTAAGAGCAATCTTGGTCAAAATTTACGACGGTATATTTAGGATATTTTCAACAAATTAATGCACACCTATTGCAATGCCATAGAGAAATCCCCCACCTGGCTTTTCCACTATCACGTACCAAAGAGCCAACTTTAATAACGACAATGTGTGTGTCTTTCCCAATGTCAACCCACAACGCATTGCCCCAACAAACAATAGAACAATCGATTTGAACAATCGATTGAAGCATCCTTTCACTCTTCTGAAGACGTTGGCTAACGATATAACAATATTGATGAAATACTAGGACTTACTCCACAAGGAGATCGAATGGGTCGGAGCGCTTTCAATATGTATTATACATATCGTCGTCAGCGAATCAATAACGGGTCGAATCGAGTCGGGTATCGAAGAGGTTCGGGAGCTGCGCGGCTCCTATAGCCGCGCAGCTCCCGAACCTCTTCGATACCCGACTCGATTCGACCCGTTATTGATTCGCTGACGACGATATGTATAATACATATTGAAAGCGCTCCGACCCATTCGATCTCCTTGTGGAGTAAGTCCTAGTATTTCATCAATTTAATTCCATCTCCACATCATGTCATTACGTCGATATAACAATAAGTCGTTACACGTTTCACTCTTCAACAGACACCATAGAGCCAACAGGACACCGCCACAACAGGCGCCAAAGAGCGGTTAAGGTGAGACATACAACCTTTTGTCATATCCTGATGATTGAAAACATTGGATTTTCACATGTGTCTATTACAAGTACAATGTCAAAGGTCATGAAGGTAATAGTTGAGCACCTTGAAGTTTTATAGATAGACTTGATGGGCTAGGGTAGCCAAAAAAGTCAAAACTGCGAGAACATTCGTAATCGTCAGCATGATAATCGCTATCATAATTTCGTTTTTTTATTAGCTTGGACTAGTGATGTCAATTACGGAAAATTGGGATACCGATACCAAACCAAATACCAACCAAAACCACGGGGAAATACCGAAACCAAACCAAATTGGGAAAAAAGAGGGAAATACCAGCTTTTTACCGATTTCTTAGCCTCTTATACATTAGTGAGGGTTCATGATACCAACAAGATACCAAACACAATACGATTGAAATACCAAATACCAAGTTGGTATCGGTTTGGTATCGGTATACCAAAAAGTTGGTATCCGATTGACATCTCTAGCTTGGACACAATAACGAAAAAAATGAAAAACAAAAAAATCATTTAACCAGAAAAACAGCTGCCAAAGAAAATAGTGAACTTCACGCAAGATCATGTCAGGCTGACCAGTGGCAATAAAAAAAAACACGAAAAACCCCGTTTTTATATTAATTGTTCTAATGGAAACGTTAATGCAGCTGTGCTATGTTCAAGTAACTTACATAAAACTTTGTTTGCAGCATCTGCGCTTGTGTATGTTTTCCGGTAAGGTTATAAGCATCACTAATGTGCCAATCTTGGACATTGGTGGTGAGCGATGTCGCATTTCATCATTGCCATAATTCCTTGGGAACGGCTCTAGTGGCAGTGGCTAATTTTATACCCACGTAGGGACTCTGGTAATCACATTGTTTAACTGAAGTGCGCATAAGAACACATTTAGATCAAGGCCTCACATTACACTTCTGTAACGATCCGACGCAGCTCGTCAATTTGCGCCCAATGGCAGTTGGTAACAAGAGCGAAACACAAATTATGCCGAGGAGGATACCTACTTGTCATAGCATGTGATACGTGCGCCCCTACTCACCAATTGCCCTCCTCTCCCACCACAGGATAAACATGATCGGAGCATGGCATAAAATTACAGGGACCCGATAACGATATAACATGCACCGGAGAGAGGGGTATGTAAACACGAATAGATTAAGGCAAACACAATAGCCAAACAACATAGCTGAGCACGTAACCGTTTACCTTTCCCGCTGTGACTGGGGCCGCCATATCGTGCTCGGCCAGCGCACTGTCTGGTTTCAGTGCTGTGTAAGTCACAGACTCCTGGGTTATGAGTTATGTTCGTTAAAGACCGATAGCTGCACCCGTGTCGAGCCCTACCGATATGGTGTGACAGACTTACCGCCGATGTGGTGCTGAAGGTGTTATGGCCACAAAAACCGGCCGACTATGTCAGGCGACAGGGTAGCCTGGTACGAAGTGGAGTGTCGTGTTGATACTTTGGTTATACAATGCAGATATACATTACCTGCTTTGAGCACGCTAAACACACATTTTGCTTTTGCTGTCGAGCTGTAGACATATTGACAATTAGCAGTATTGCAAGACATAGTATTGGAGAGTCATACTGCATAGTTGGTGTCACGTTTAATTTACTTTCCTTCGTAAAAACAATGAACGGAATTATCAAGACAAAAAGCACTCTGCATTGCACATTATTGACGTTAACAACACCTCCCTCCTATACCCTCTCTCTTCTCTCTCTCTCTCTCTCTCTCTCTCTCTCTCTCTCTCTCTCTCTCTCTCTCTCTCTCTCTCTCTCTCTCTCTCTCTCTCTCTCTCTCTCTCTCTCTCTCTCTCTCCCTCCCTCCCTCCCTCCCTCCCTCCCTCCCTGTCCTCCTCCCAGAAGAAGTCAATGATTCCTTCCACTCCAGATAAATGAGACGTTCAACACAATACAAGAGAGCCGAGACACAGACCGGCAGCTGTCGTGGCAACAGAAATTGCTTCGCTCTCACACACTCCTTGAGCAGACATCAGCCTCAGCCTCAGGCTGGCAAGAACAACGAGTAGATAGACACACATCACGTTTAATGAGAACAGGCTAGACCATCGTCTGGCAGACTCTCGAGTACACGGAGGACTCTTCGCCACTCATATGACTCTCTGACAGACGTTCAATAAGACAGCTTCCAGATGCAGTGCGACGAACGGTTCCACAAAGCTGGAATAATTTCAGTTGCAAGGTCCGTGTTGCAGCTCAGAGAGTTGGGAGAAATGTCCCGATGTGTATTGCGACTGACAGGGATGGGACACCCAGACAGTTGGTAGCAGATCGAGTGAAATGGAACAGCTTTTAACAACGACTGCTGGCGGCAGATATTGTGAGATGCTCGACGATAATTGGAAACCCAAGTCCGCTGGTAGAAAGATGAGCTTCCTAAAAAGTTCCAACTTTTCTTTATATTTGTTATATATTACAAAAGGCACTATGTTAAAATATCTTTCATAGGAAATAATCGCGACATAATCCTACAGCCTACTGCACATGCTAAATAATCCAGTAATTCAGATTTCACAATATCCAATGATAAAAGACTCCATTTCCACTGAGATTTGAAACGAAATCATATAACGCCTAGCTGCCGCCTACCAAGAGACGGACGGCTGCGGCGCGGTAATGTTTCTCACGTCTCAGGGGTTCATGGGACCTGAACTGACCCCGCCTGACCGCGCGGGCGTGACCTCTGACCTCGCGGTCACAGGCTCACCACACGAGCCGTGCTAGACCGGCCTGCTCACACGGTGTCATTTAAACCCGCCAGAGGCGTTTGATATGGATTTAGAATCACATGAAATGCCTACGAAGAAGTAAGAGACACGTGAACACGTGTAGAGACATCCAGGCCAACCACTCGGGGTTTGAATATATTCACGCAAACGTCTGGGCACGCTAAATAACAATTATCGAAATTAATATGGTAGCTGCACCATTAAAACAATAGTCATCGGTATCTTATCCTTTTTATTTTCGCCACGCCGACACTAACAAATATTATTAGATGGATTTCTTTGTCTATAATAATGAGGCCCCTGAGCCTTCAAAATGACGAACTCTGATGCCACGATGACGACCCTCTGCTCCAAATCGAAGCCGTGATTGGGTCGTTATGGCCAATCTGTCTCACATAGCTGTGTGTTCTCGATAACAACGTCCCCTTCCGCCCGGGCACACCCTTCCTTAGAGCCCCTGAGGTGCCACATCTCACCGATTTCACACAGCGTCCATCACAGGTCGCCTCGCTGGCCAGTGGAAATTGGTTCGTTAGACGGGCCCAGCAAACCGGCCACGACAAACGACGCTTTTAACCGCGTCAACCGACCGGCGAGAGACATCGTCGATCTCGACGATCGCCAGTTCCGGCCCATTTCGACGGCTCGTTGACGTTCGAAAGAGAGGGTAAGAGCGCAGCGATGGACGAGACAGCTGAAACTCGCGTCTGGATGTCGGTAAATCGTAGTGAAACCACACGATGGAACGGCTGACGACGTCGCCCACAGCGTAGACTAGCGAGCACGGTCTCAGTCCCCGACGATCAAACGCCTTACCGTCGACAGCGTGGGAGGACGGCACCGGTCGAGCTGTCTGTAGCCGGTGATGATAACTAGATAGACGTGGCCAGTGGTCACTGAACCTGAGATTATGGAGTCTCGATAGGCAGCCTCAGAAATGCAGTGGGTTGGGATGGGGGATAGGCACAACTGTCAGTCAAGAGAGAAATTGACGGATGATTGGTTTTCGAGTGGTGGATCTTGTAGAGTGTTGGTAAACATGAACGTTCATTGCTGGTGGCATCAGAGGATGTTCAAAAGGAAAGCGCCGCAAGTGAATCAAACGGCTGTTATGAAACGATCGAAGTGAAAGTGTTTCCTAAGCGAAGGAGCTCGGAACATTTGTCTGAATGGTCACACACCAGCCATTTGTTGTTGTTGGTAGACTCGAGTTTGCTCACAGCGGAGCATCATTAGTCTTTGTCGAGTGTTGCGCAAGAGAAGTAAGTTTGTAAACTGAATGAAAACACGCCGTTGTATGACGAATGACGCAAAATATCGACTGTGCTGTAATTTAAACGTCATGTTTTTTTTTTTGTAAACAAGATGATGCATAAGTCACAAGACCTCAATTGATTGTGATATGTTCATGTAAAAATCAGCCGCTTTTTCTCCACTCTCTAATCCATATTAC